AGTGTGTGAGTGTGTGCGGCTTGCGAGCCGCCACCACCCCGCAACCAATCCTCCACCCCTCCTCTCCCTCCTCTCCCTTTGCTCCCTCCCCTCCCTCCCCTCCCTCCCCTCCCTCCCCTCCCTCCTCTCCTCTCTCTTCTCTTCCCTCCCCTCCTCCTCTCTCAAACGCGCACACACACACGCACACGCCCCCCCACCCCGACCCCGACCCCGACCCCGATCCCGGCTCCCCCCCCCCCCCCTGTTCTCCCACCCCAGGTGCGAGTTGAGCGCGTGAGGCCAAAGGGACCGGCGCGATGCAGCCGAGATACAACCCGATATACAACCCGAGATACAACCCGGGGTGCAGCCCAGGTGCAGCCCAGGTGCAGCCCAGGTGCAGCCGAGATGCAGCCGAGATGCAGCCGAGGTGCAGCCGAGGTGCAGCCAAAGTGGCAGGCGTGATTCGACGACCTCTCCACAGCCCCCCCCCCCCCTCCCCCCTCCCCCCTCCCTCTCCTCCCTCCCGTCAAGCGCCGCCTGTTTCACACCGCCAGCCGTGAACAGCTCACACCGCCAGCCGTGAAGAGCTCACACCGCCAGCCGTGAACAGCTCACACCGCCAGCCGTGAACAGCTCACACCGCCAGCCGTGAACAGCTCACACCGCCAGCCGTGAAGAGCTCACACCGCCAGCCGTGAACAGCTCACACCGCCAGCCGTGAAGAGCTCACACCGCCAGCCGTGAACAGCTCACACCGCCAGCTGTGAAGAGCTCACACCGCCAGCCGTGAAGAGCTCACACCGCCAGCCGTGAAGAGCTCACACCGCCAGCCGTGAACAGCTCACACCGCCAGCCGTGAAGAGCTCACACCGCCAGCCGTGAAGAGCTCACACCGCCAGCCGTGAACAGCTCACACCGCCAGCCGTGAAGAGCTCACACCGCCAGCCGTGAAGAGCTCACACCGCCAGCCGTGAAGAGCTCACACCGCCAGCCGTGAACAGCTCACACCGCCAGCCGTGAAGAGCTCACACCGCCAGCCGTGAAGAGCTCACACCGCCAGCCGTGAAGAGCTCACACCGCCAGCCGTGAACAGGCGCCCGGCGACGAGCTAGCGTGGCTCGTGTCTTGCGCGAGCGAGGGAAGCACCTCCAGCCCCCCCGTGCCAGCCTACCCTACGGGGCCTTTGCGGGACCCCTCTCCCCCCCAACCCCCCCCACCCCCCCAGGGACCACCAAGCTCGTGCCAAACTCTCGCATGCGGCGGGAGGCGCACCGCAGCCTGCCGAGATCGTCCCAGATTGGCCGAGATTGGCCGAGATTTCCCGTGCGTCGCTCGCCGCCGGACCAGCCACCGTCGTCCCGCACGCGCCTCGCTTGGCTGCCGCCCCGAGCCGGCGGGGCCCTCCTTCGCCCGCAGGCGCCGCAGCTGCTGCTCGACTTTTACGAGGCGCGGCTCCGGTACCCGGCGAACTTGTGAGGGGTTGCGCTGGTGGGGCTCTGGAGCCAGTGGCGCGCGGGGATTCGGATCGGCGGGGGGCTTGCGCTGTCCTCCCGGCAGGGGCGGCATCGCTGTAGCTGCTTCTCCCCTCTCACCCCCTCTCCTGTGACTCGTGTGTATTATACGTACACGCCCCTTCGAGCTTCCGTTCTCGTCCATGCAAAGTATGTCCTATGTGTTTGTCGACGCCGATTAGGCTTACAACTCGGTTGACTCCGTCCAATTATAGCGCATACTGATAGTGAAGAAGACGGTTTTGAGAGATGAGAGAGGCGCGGTCGTCAGACGCACCTCCTTCAGCTTCTATTTCGACGCTCGGATTGCAAGTATCACACGCTGCCGTCGGCGTGTACCACACGCACCATCCGCTCCGAACCTTGCTCGCCTTCGTAGTGCCCAACGACGCCGACGGCAAACTCCGAGCGCACCAGCCGCTCCGCACCTCGCTCGCCCTCGTAGTGCCCAACGTTGCCGGCGTTTACCACACGCACCAGCCGCGGCGCACCTTGCTCGCCTTCGTAGTACGACACGCTGCCGTCGGCAAACTCATGGCACACCAGGCGCTCCGCACCTTGCTCGCCCTCGTAGTGCCCAACGCCATCGGCAAGCACCATGCGCACCTGCCGCTCCGCTCCTCGCTCGCCCTCGAAGTGCACCACGGCGTCGGGCATATCCGTTCGCACCTTCCGCTCCGCACCTCGCTCGCCCTCGAAGTGCACCACGGCGTCGGGCATATCCGTTCGCACCTTCCGCTCCGCACCTCGCTCGCCCTCGAAGTGCACCACGGCGCCATCAGCACGCACCTTGCGCACCATCCGCTCAACGTCTCGCTCGCCCTCGAAGTGCTCCACCGTGCCGTCGGGACACTCTGCGCGCACCAGCCGCTCTGCACCTTGCTCGCCCTCGCAGTGCACGACGCTGCCGTACCGCAAGGAACGCAACCGCAGCGCCGCGCCACTCTCTTCGCCGCGCTTCAGTCTCCAGATATCGATGCGATTGTCTCCGGGGCCGCCCAGCTCCGTCGAGAGGCAGAGCGCCGGGCTCACCCTCGCAAGCCATGGGAAGTAGTCGGCGCTGGCGCGGCGGTCGGCGGCGTACTTGCGCAGGATGGACTCGGTCAGAGGCGAGGGGGGGATGGCAGCGGCGAGGCGGGGCGAGCGGCGCGGCGCGGCTACCCGCTGGGCGAGCTGCAGCCGCATCGCCACGGCGAAGAGAGGGTCTTTGAAGCGCGGCAGGTCGCTGCGCAGGGCGAGGCGGCCGAGGCGCGGCGACGCGAGGCTGAAGGCGGCGCAGTCGGAGAAGTCGTCGACGCCCTCGAGGATGTGGAGAAGCAGCTCGTGCGGCAGCTCGGCCAGCCAGTCAGTGGGCGGGGCGTCGTCGTCGGTGCGTGCGCGGGGCGAGCGCGACATCTATGCCCATGCCCCGCGGCGGCCTAAACAAACACTCGACGTTTGAACCGTTCTCACCCATCCATAAACTCACTTTGGCCTCACTAAAGCGATGCCTCAATCCTGAATCCTCAGATTTTAGATGAGGACGCTGTGGGGGGCCCCTCTCGTAGCGTCTAGCCCCACACCGCACACGCACACGAGGCACAGGGTCAGGTTACAGTTTTCTTCCTTTTGCTCTGACACGGCACACGGAGACACGCCCACCGCGCTTAACCGAGCGCCCACGACTCTCGACTGCGGGTCGTTCCCGAGCGCGGGTGTCCGCGGCTCAGTGGACAGTGTCAGAGCAAAAGGAAGAAAACTGTAACCTGAGGTGCGGTGGGCGACACCCATAGCTTAAACACCCATAGCAGCACTGCTGACAAACACCCATAAGAGAGAGCGAGCGCTAAACGTAAACACCCAATAGGCGCATCGAGGAGTCACGACCTCAGCCGAGGATCACAGGGGGGGGGGTCCGACCCCCCCAGAGGCTTCACCACATGCTAGGGGGGGGGTCCCGACCCCCCCAGAGGCTTCACCACATGCTAGGGGGGGGGTGGGGCGTGAGTAGAAGTGCGCCCCCCTCCCTGGAAGCGATGTCCGCCTGCTCCAATATGGAGCAGGAGCCTGAGAAGGAGCAAGAACTGATCTTGGACTAAGCAACGTATTTCAGACTATCCCGGATCCTGCTGAACAAGCTCCTCTTGTAGCTCGATCGGTCACACCGCCATCGCCGTCGGGGAGAGGGGGGCGACACTGCCTCGGCAGCGTGCACCTCGATCCTGTACCGTGTTTGTTATGACCCCCCCCAATGAACACACCAGTGAGGGAGGGCGAGACGATCGGAGGGGTCCCGTACCATGCGGAATCGACCCTATCAAGTGCTCAAGTGCTCAAGCAACGTATTTTGATTTTGAGCTTAGCCTTCGATGTTTGATTTTTGTCATCCTCGTGCGGTAAAAGCCCAAGTTTTGGCCGAGGGATCCGCGCTCGGCGCACAGATGGTTGTCATCGAGGAGATTGACTCTGCGCGCCCAATCTATGGCCCACCAGACCCGCTCGCCTTCCCATCCGGGCCCTCGGGTGCGAAGAAGGCAGCCGCGCAGCCAATGGAGCAGGAGCCTGAGAAGGAGCAAGAAGGTGCCGCCCCGCCGTCTCTCATGATGGGTCAAGCGTATTTCATGCTGCCTGTCCTCTTCCTCACAGGACAGATTGATTTTACACAGCCGGGAAACGTCGACATGGCGCGGCTCGTCTTTCTGCTCGGCAACTTTGCAATCGCCATGGTCACGCAGCGCACCCTGATGTGCGTCAAAAAGGTGGCGAATCCAAAGAGGATTGCGGAGCCAGGCCCTGTGTGGGCGCCGTACGCGAGCGAGGACGGCTCAATCTCGGTGGAACAGCATGACGCAATGGTGGTGCAGGGGCTGCAGAGGAAGCAGTTCCTCTCCTTCCTCCTCATCGGGGCGCTGCACTACTATTGGAAGCTGATTCCGCCGATGCTTGTCTCGTGCTTCATCGGCGTCAAGGGTTTGTACGACTGCCCAGCCGTCCACATATACCTATTTGGCACCGATGAGGCCGCGTACACGCGGCCGTGGGGCAGCACCTTTGTCGAGAGCAAAGAGGGAGATACTGCAGCGGCGCCTGCAGCGCCGGCTCTGCCGGCCAACATGTCTGTGAAGGAGGCGCGGGCGAGGAGCTTAGGGGGCAAGAAGGCGAGGTGAGAGAGCAGAAGAGAGAGGCAGCGATGGGGCTGCCACTTCGCTCGTAGGGGCTTGTCGCACGTCGGTGTGCGCAGAGCCGTCGAGAGACAACAGGGAATGCTTGTGCCGGTGCCCTGCAGGAAGGTAAAATGGTACTTGGTAGGTAAAATTCTCCACACACACAAAGTGGTGGGGCAAGGGGGGGGCGACCCTCGCATCTCCACACCCGGACACGGGCAGGAGCCCCACGGCATTCAAAGTTGGCCCGGTGCACGTGGGTGAGGAGCCCCCCCCCCGACAACCAACTCTCCGTTTACTCAGACGAGTACGACAGAGACTCTCCCCCCCGCGCACGCGTCAGCAACTAACTAGGTCTATATGCCGTCGTGAGACCGGTGAGAGCAGACGAGGAGCGCCGCTTGTTCACCGTGAGACGAGTGTGAGACGCTCTGAGATGAAATGATGAGACGTAGTAGAGACGATATCGTCACACAGCAGGGGTGAACATATTTGTGTCTCACTCCGCAGTGTCACTGGAAGTCCGAAACTGGACACTCGACTGGTGTCTCAAACCACGATACACACGTCTCTGAAGGTGACTGTGCCGTGTGTGTGACATCCTGAGACAAAGTGAGACTGTTGCTGTGACCAAGGCTGAGACAGCACAGAGATCGCTGAGAGTCTGGGAGATCGTATTACTGAGACATACATTTGTGACACAGGTCACAGCGTTGAGACAGGGACGAAACAACAGTGAGTCAGTGAGACAAAGACGTCTCACCTGAGACCTGTTCGCCCCCAAGAGAGACCCATCAGAGACCCGCCACATGGCCGCCCCGAATCGTGCACAATCCTAGCTAGCAGTTACGGAGACAGACCCTCAAGACAGCACCGTGGTCGGAGGCAGAGCCACACTCACCACAACTGCACACAGGTTCCCATTGCCAAACAAAGACCAAACAGCGCCATCAGCCAGCGGTGTTGCGTGTTCCCTGCGGCCACCCCCTCAAGACAGCACCGTAGTCGGAGCACGGAGGCAAAGCCACACTCACCCCTACTCCGTCTCGCGTGTGATCGCGAAGCGCAGCACGCACGCGACAAAGTCGAGCGCCGCGATGCCGTTCGTGTTTCCTGCCGAGTCGAGATGGTGCCGCTCTTGGATCTCGTAGAGCGAGACGACGAGGAGCGCCGCCCGCTCGCGCGCCGCCGCGGGGAAGAGCGAGTGGCTTGCCGGCGACCACGGCGCCGCCGCCCGCCGGATCAGCGCCGCCGCCTCGCCCGCGCCGCCCGCGGCGCGCTGCAGCGGCGTCGGCTCGCCCTCGTGCAGGCTTGCGCCGCTGCGCAGCAGGGAGGTGGCGCGGGCGGCGGTGAGGGTCTCAAGGTGCGCGAGCGGCGTCCAGCCGCGGCTGGCGACCAGCCAAGCGGCGAGGTCGGCTGGCCGCGGAGGTTTGCGGCCTCCTCGGGCGTGCCAAGGGGCGTAGCGGCGCGGGAGGCGCCGTAGGAGGAGAGGAGCTTGGCGACCTCGACGTGGCCGTTGTAGCACGCCATGAACAGTGGCGTGACGCCATCCTCCTTGGCTTGGTCCATCGCCGCGCCCGCCTCGAGAAGCAGCTGGGCAACCTCGAGGTGGCCTTGGTGGCATGCAACAAGCAGCGGCGTGGCGCCGTTCTCCTTGGCTTGGTCGACCGCTGCATTAGCCTCAATGAGCAGCTGGACGATCTCGACGTGGCCCTGCTGGCACGCGATGTACAGGGGCGTGCCGCCGTCATCCGTGGCCTGGTTGACCGCCGCGCTGGCCTCGAGGAGCAGCCGGACGCACTCGAGGTGTCCCATTTGGCACGCAACGAGCAGCGGCCTGGCGCCATCCTCTGCGGCTTGGCTGACCGCCGCGTCCGCCTGGATGAGCAGCCGGGCAATCTCGACGTGGCCCTGCCAGCACGCGATGCACACCGGCGTGTAGCCATTGTTGCTGGCTTGGATGACCGAAGCGCCAGCGTCGCGCAGCAGCCGGGCGACGTCGAGGTGGCCCTTCTGGCACGCGATGAGAAGCGGCGTGGCGCCGTCCTTTGCGGCTTGGCTGACCACCGCGCCCGCCTCGAGAAGCAGCCGGGCGATCTCGAGGTGGCCCTGCTGGCACGCGATGAACAGCGGCGTGAAGCCGTCCTCATCGGCTTGGTCGACCGCCGCATAGGCCACGAGGAGCAGCCGGGCGCACTCGAGGCATTCCTTCTCGCACGCGAGGAGGAGAGCGGAGGCGTTGAGCCTGCCGCGCGTTGAGCCTGCCGCGCGTCCGCCGCCCGGAGAGTAAGGCTCGCAGCGCGGCACGAACCGACACAAAAACGCAAAAACCAAAAGGAGAAATCGTGGCGCAATGTGTCCCGCTGGGTGCGCTTCTTAGATCTAGCTCCCCGGTCCTGGATGTGAGGTTAATGATTGCACTCCAAGTGCTCCAGGCGCATATATGCTAGTGCTATCCTGCCCTATGGGAGGCAGCGGGATGGGGGGAGGGCGGGGGCAGTGCTGGCTGCTGCAGAGCTGTGTGAACCCCCGTGTGTCGGCGACGGCGTCGCCTGTGTGTCTGGGCTTTGGGGGCGGCGCACACGGCGCCCCCGGCAGGGGCGCGGGCCCGCGGCGCGCGGTGGGGCCCCCGGATGCCGAGAGTCACACTGCACCCCGGCGTATATTACTACGCGCGAAATGGCTACGCGAGAAGAGTCGAGGCGCACAGCACTGAAAAGAAACCCCAATCCATGCTCAAGCACAGGGACCTCAACACTCCGAGGACGCGAGATGCCGCTTCCGCCGCCTCGCTAATAGACGTGCCCGCCCGCATGCCCCGTCGACGTTCTCAACCTCGGGCCTGCGCACAGCGGTCACGGGCCTGGGCTGCGCTCAGCGGTCGAGCTCGAGAATCTGCTTGCGCCCGCACCCCACCCGCTGGCGCCCATCCCCGGTGGCGCCGCCGCCGCCGCGGCGCCTGCCCACGCAACCGCACGCCACACGCACGCAGGACCGCGCGCCCCGCCGCCACCGCTGATCGCAACACCGTCGTCCACCCGAGCGAGATGGTGCCACACTACTAACTATCCTTCAACAGTACCCCACCGAACGCGTCCAGTCCCCTTCCGTCCTTATTTTTTGTGCGGTTTTGCTTGTTGGTAGAGAGAGAGAGAGAGAGAGAGAGAGAGAGAGAGAGTAGGCCGACACGAGTGTGAACCGGTGCTCGTGCGACAATCCAAAAAAAAACGCCCACGTGAACTTCTTGTGTCGGCGGGCAATCATGCTGGGGGCGTATCGCCGACGATCAAACGCGGTGCCACACTGCGACTCACTGTATTGGCCAATGGTGCTGCGGCTGGCATGCGGATTGTGGCTGCTCGCGGCAGTGTCGGTGGCGTTCTCGCTCACCTGCGACGATTTGAATGAGCGCATCCTGGTCCCAAATGGAAAATCCTGCAGCAAGGCGCCGGAGGGCAGCTGCTCGTCGTACTACCAGGACAAGGGTCAAGGGAAGTACAAGCTGTGCCACGGGCCGGGCGGCACTAAGTGTGCTTCTACTACGGTATCAGGCTGCTCGGTGCCGCTCACCTGCGACGACCTGGCGGGGCGCTCTCCAGTCCCAGGCGGCAAGGGCTGCAGCAAGGCGCCAGAGGGCAGCTGCTCATCGTACTACCAGGACAAGGGTCAAGGGAAGTACAAGCTGTGCCACGGGCCGGGCGGCACTAAGTGTGCTTCTACTACGGTATCAGGCTGCTCGGTGCCGCTCACCTGCGACGACCTGGCGGGGCGCCTCCCGGTCCCCAATGAGAAAGGCTGCAGCAAGGCGCCAGAGGGCAGCTGCTCGTCGTACTACCAGGACAAGGGTCAAGGGAAGTACAAGCTGTGCCACGGGCCGGGCGGCACTAAGTGTGCTTCTACTACGGTATCAGGCTGCTCGGTGCCGCTCACCTGCGACGACCTGGCGGGGCGCTCTCCAGTCCCAGGCGGCAAGGGCTGCAGCAAGGCGCCAGAGGGCAGCTGCTCATCGTACTACCAGGACAAGGGTCAAGGGAAGTACAAGCTGTGCCACGGGGTGGGAGATGCAAAATGTGGCTCTACAGAGGTAATTGGCTGCTTGTCTCCCTCACCCAACGCAGCGCCGCTGCCGCCACCGCCCACGCCCGAAGGCCCAGCTTGCTGCACTGCCGCCGCACAGACCTGCGGGGAAACTTGCGCTCCGTGCTATTCTTGCTTCATGTGCGTTGGTCCGCAGCTCCTCCTCCCATTATGCTGGCCCTGCGCCTTCTGTGCCACGTGCTTGACTGACTGCGCAGAGTTCATCCCCTGCTTCGCCTCCGAGCCCGATTGCACCAACACGCTCATCCACGGCGGACGGCTCCGCGACTGGAAGATGGGGACCGAGACGTGCTCGTCGCCACCGTGCCCGCTGCTGCTTGTTTTTCACGCCGCAGCAATGAACGCTGACGACATGATGACGTACACGCAGATGAACACCAAGGTGAACGAGCACGGCGGTGCCATTGTTGCCTACCCCAACGGCTTGGGTGTCGCCTCTGGTTTTATCGGAAGGCGCAGGTTGTATGTGCCAGGAGGTGTTTCCTGCTGGAGTGTACCGTACGCGGACAGGTCCATGCTCGGTTTCGCGTGCAATAATGAGACCGTTCAGGATGACGTGGGCTTCATCAATGCGCTCCTCGACACGCTTATGTCTCGCTACTCGATCGACCCTGGTCGCGTCTTCGCTACTGGCTTTGTATTGGGCGGGGGGATGACGATGAATCTCGCGTGCCATCTCTCTCACCGCATTGCCGCCTTCGTCACGGTATCCCCTGGCCCTATGACTGCGGCACTGCACATCTTCAATGGGTTGATCAGCGAAGATGACGGTGACCTAGCTCTGACTGTGGAGCAATGGAGCTGCCCCTGGAACGGTCGACGAGGGCAAATTCCCCTCATGATCATACATGGCACGGCCGACAATCTCCTCCCGTTCGAGCCCTCGGTCCGGACGGCGCGGTGGTGGGCGACAAGCATGGGCTACACGCAGGTCGAGTACCCTGGCTACCCCTGTGGCAGCTTCTCGTGCACCAGCACGGTTTGGACCGCGGGGGGTGCCTCGCCCGACGCCGACGACCTTCCCACACCTCTCGTGGCGCACATAGCTGTGCACGGTGGCGGAAGCGACTGGGACCAACTCCCAGGCTTGGCCTACTTTGAAAGCGACTTCCAGGCTTGCACATCGGGCTGCTTTGGCACCTCCGACCTGGCCCTCGATTTCCTCTTCCGCTATCGTAGCCCGCCGGCGCCGCCTTCACCACCGACGCGAACGGGGTGCCAGTGGGACGCGCCGTGGATCGAGGAGTGCGCCGCCGGATGCTGTTCCGACGCGCACGTGTGTGGTGGCGGCCACGAGATGATGACCAACCCTCCGTGCTGGGAGTGCCTCGACCAGTTGGACGGCATCTGTGCGCCCTGCTGGGAAGAGGGCTGCCTACCTGCCTGCGCAGATTGTTACATTAAGCAGCCACCGTCGGCCCCCGCTCCGCCTATGCCACCGCCACCGCTGGGCTGCCGGTGGGAGAATGAAGAGTGCGCCGCCAATTGCTGCGCCAGCACCGGCGATGCCGCAATTTGCGGCGGGAGGCACCCCTCATTTGACAACCCTCCGTGCTGGGAGTGCCAATTCAACATGGACGGCGCCTGCGCGCCGTGCTGGGAGCATTGCCTCCCCGCGTGCGCCGCGTGTTACACAGAGCTGCCGCCGTCCCCGACGCCGCCACCCCAGCCGCCTTCTCCACTCGGCTGCCGGTGGGACCTCGACGAATGCGCCGCCATGTGTTGCGCGAACACCGGTGACGCCGCGCTTTGCGGTGGTGGCCACCCCTCGTTCACGAACCCTCCGTGCTGGCAGTGCCAGGACAAGATGGACGGCACCTGCGCGCCGTGCTGGCAACATGGATGCCTACCGGGTTGTGGCCCTTGCTATAGATAGGGTGTCAAAATTCTTTCTTTCCTGTGTTAGTGCCAGTGCGTAGTGGCCTCCCCGCGGGGCGCTCGAGCCGCCAGAGCGCAGCGAGTGGCGGAGGTAGAGCCGTAGACGAAGCCGGCCGGACCCGGAGCGCGGGGAGGAGCCCGCACGCCCTCCAGCTCCTGCTCCTCGTCGAGTCCGTCTCGCTCACCCAGCCCGCCATGTGATTTGATCAGGGGACAGCACATAAATACCAAAGGACAAACATCACTCAGTGGATCATAGGACGCGTCGCGGGATTTCGCGTTGCGGCCTCCGACCGTCATGCGATTCGAGCCGTCGGCCCAGAGTGACGCTTAGTCTTGTGCACTGACCGGCTCTCTTCTTCCGCCTCGCGCCTCCGCGCGAGCGCGCGCCACGCTACTGCGTCTCGCGCGTGATCGCAAAGCGCAGCACGCACGCGACAAAGTCGCGCGCCGCGATGCCGTTCGTGTTTCCTGCCGAGTCGAGATGGTGCCGCTCGTGGATCTCGTAGAGCGAGACGACGAGGAGCGCCGCCCGCTCGCGCGCCGCCGCGGGGAAGAGCGAGTGGCTTGCCGGCGACCACGGCGCCGCCGCCCGCCGGATCAGCGCCGCCGCCTCGCCCTCGCCGCCCGCGGCGCGCTGCAGCGGCGTCGGCTCGCCCTCGTGCAAGCTTGCGCCGCTGCGCAGCAGGGAGAGAGCGCGCGCGGCGGTGAGGCTCTCAAGGTGCGCGAGCGGCGTCCAGCCGCGGCTGGCGACCAGCCAGGCGGCGAGGTCGGCGTGGCCGCGGCGGTTCGCGACCCTCTCGGGCGTGCCGAAGGGCGTAGCGGCGCGGGAGGCGCCGTAGGAGGAGAGGAGCTTGGCGATCTCGAGGTGGCAATTGCGGCACGCGGCGAGCAGCGGCGTGGCGCCGTTGTTCATGGCTTGATCGATCGCCGCGCCGGTCTCGAGGAGCAGCCGGGCGGTGTCGAGGTGGCCCTTCTGGCACGCGATGTACAGCGGCGTGACGCCTTGGGTCTGGGCTCGGTCCTTCGCCGCGCCCGCCTTGAGGAGCAGCCGGGCGACCTCGAGGTGGCCGTTCTGGCACGCGATGTACAGCGGCGTGGCGCCACTGTTCATGGCTTGATCGATCGCCGCGCCGGTCTCGAGGAGCAGCCGGGCGGTGTCGAGGTGGCCCTTCTGGCACGCGATGTACAGCGGCGTGACGCCTTGGGTCTGGGCTCGGTCCTTCGCCGCGCCCGCCTTGAGGAGCAGCCGGGCGACCTCGAGGTGGCCGTTCTGGCACGCGATGTACAGCGGCGTGGCGCGGCTGGCGGTGGCTTGGTCGACCGCCGCGCTGGCCGCGAGAAGCAGGCGGACGATCTCGACGCGGCCGTTCTGGCACGCCATGAACAGCGGCGTGACGCCTTGGGCCTGGGCTTGGTTGACCGCCGCGCTGGCCTCGAGGAGCAGCCGCGCGATCTCGAGGTGGCCCTTCTGGCACGCGATGAACAGCGCGGAAGCGCCGCCGCCATTCGTCGCCCCCACGCTCGCGCCGGCTTCGAGCAGCAGCCGCACCGCCTCGGCTTGCCCGTGACGAGCGGCCCAGGTGAGCAGCGTGTCCTGCGTCTCGGTGTTGAGCCGCGCGTCGAGCTGGGCCGTAAGCGACGTGCCGCGCGTCTGCCGCCCGGAGAGGAAGGCGCGCAGCGCGTCCAGTTCGCCCACCGCCAGCTCGGGCAGCAGGGCTGGGCTCAGGCCGCCGCTCATGCCGCCAGAAAGAAGAAAACGAATTGAACGAAAAACTCAGAAAAAACAAACGCCCCGGGTGCCCCCCCCCCCTGGCCCCCCCCAACCCGCCCCCCGGCATCCGACCCGCCCATTCAGCTCTTTCGTACTTTCGTGCGGAGCGTGGGTTTGCTTTTTCATTTTTTAGGCGGGATTTGTGGTCACAACTTAGGCGCGCGCGCGAAACACACCCGGATCTACTCGCGTAGATACACAGACGACACAACCGAGCCTATGGACAACTGGGACCAGATCATCACGCAGCGCTGGCGTGCCGCGTGCGGCGATTCCAGCAGGCCCAGACAAAGTGACGCGATCCGTCTCGCCGAGGCGCGCTTTTTGCGTCCGCATCGGTAGACGGTAGAGATGTGCGTTTGGAGCAGTGCGGACTGTCTGTGCAGAGTAGAGTGGGGTCACCCGTTTAGTTGATTTGTAGTTTGTGTTGTTCTGTGTGAGCGGTGGTGCCGCACGGGCCGCTCTCCCTCGCCTCGGGGCGTGGCGCTGGTGGGCCGGGGGCGCGCGGTAGGCGTACGGGGCCGCGTGCGCGTGGCCCGCCCGTAAGCGCCGTGTGTGGGGTGCCCTGGGGTCGGGCAGCGAGCTACCCCCCCGGGACGGCGCATCGCGAGTGAGGCCCCGGGGTGGGGCAGGTGAGGGAGGGGGCGGGGATGGCCGGGCCCCGGTGAGTTCTGGGTGAGGCCCGCCCTCTCCCCTCCCTCGGGCTACTGTGATCCGCACATTACCGCCTTCTGTGGTGGCGGCGTGCCGTCCTCCCATCCCTCCCCTGCAGTGGTGCCTTGGATGTCGGCGGAGACTGAGTCAATATCGGCGAAGCCCGAGTCGATCTCGGTGGAGCCCGAGACGATAGCAGCGGAGCCGACCGGCCTCTTCGTGCTTCGCTTCATGCACCGCGGGGAGACTCTGAGGAACGGCCGCGTCCTGACGCGATCCTGGTCCAGCTCCGACCCTGTGCCGGGCTCGCTGCTGCTCGAGATGCTGTCCTCCGAGGAGGCGAACCTGCCTATGCACCGGCTGGTCGCCTTCTATTACAGCAAGGCGCTGGAAGGGTGGCAGCGGCTGAACGCGCACTCGCGTTGCCCTCTCCCAGCAGCGTGTGGCGGCAGCCCGCCGCGCATCGAGGTAATGCTGGAGCCTCTCGCTGCGACAAGCCACGAGGCGATGGCTTCCGCGTCGCAGACGGCGCGCGGCTCGGTGCCACTCTCCAGCTACGCCGTGGCGGCGGTGGGCGACGACCTCTCGGCCACGACACTCGAGGCGAGATACAGCCGAGATACAGCGATGTCTCGCCGAGGTCTCCCGAGGTTGCCCTCTCTTGCTTGCTGCTGCACCGTCCGTTCGAGGCGCCCATTCATTGCCATGAGTTCGTGGCGATGAGGACCATCAACGAATGAAGCTGCGCCTCTCTCGCTCCCTTCCAAGTCCCTGCACCGGGCGGGGACCCGCTCGCACTACCCATCTCTTGCCTGAGGTGCCAGCCTGATTTGCCGATGTCTTGATCTCGAGGCGGCGGCGGCAGCCGGCGGCTTCTTCGCCATCGGCGTGTACAACTCGAAGTCGGCGGAGAATGTCGGCACACTGTGGCGCTCCGCCTTCATGCTCGGCGCGGCCTACATCTTTACGGTGGGGAGCCGGAACGCGTGGGAGAAGGCGGCCGACACGTACAAGGCGTGGCGCCGGCTGCCAGCCTTCAGGACATCTCCTAGACACGTCTCCTAGACACTCTTGGACACGCTCCAGACACTGCCGACAGCCAGCCTTCAGGACACTTCCTAGACACTTCCTGCTTCCCTGCAGGTACGCGGACTGGGCCCCCATATCTCCACATATCTCCCCATATCTTCCCATATCTCCCCATATCTCCCCTTGCAGGTACGCGGACTGGGCCGCTTTCGCGTGCGCGGCGCCGTACTCGACGACTTGGGCGGGGCTCCCGTCCTCTCGAGCAAAGCGAGCGGGGTCCAGCGCCCGAGGCTGAAGCTCGTTGCGTCTAGGAAGTGTCTAGGAAGTGTCTAGGAAGCGGCGAGCTGGCTCGAGCGCCCGAGGCTGAAGCTCGTTGTGGATAGGTGTGCCGCCGAGAGGAGGGCCGGGCCGCGCTGTCTGCACACCTGGTCTGCTGCACGCGGGCCAGATTCGGTCGTAGGTGGCCGTCGAGATGGGCGGAGTCCCTCTGCACGAGTTCGAGCACCCGGAGAGGGCAGCCCACGCCAGAGATGCAGACACACCTACGCGTGCTCTTGCGGGCGTGTCTTCGGAACACATCGGCTGCACTCCGCTGCACTGCGGCCGTGTCCTCCGCGCACGCCGCCGGTGTGCTCGCTTCCTCACACCTCGACTCTCGGCTCGCGATGCAGGCAGTCTACGTGCTCGGGTCAGAGGACGCGGGCCTGCCGCCCTCGGTCGTGCATTTTTGCTCCCGGCTGAGGGAGCAAGCAAGCCCACTCAACCCCAAGTACTCACCGTTTTACAGTGGTGTTTTTTCCACATCGGCTGCAGCCTCTGCTGGGGCGGAACGCGCGGGGTTTTCGGCGCGATGCCCTCGGCGAGTACACGCTACTGCTCTGCCGCAAGCTCTCCTGCGCGCGCGTGACGTGTGGGACGCGTGCGCTGCGCTCAAACGTCGCGATTTGGCGATAGGCGCTCGAGCCGGCGCACAGCGGATAGGTGCGCCGCGCAGGGGGGGTCGGAGGTGTGAGAGAGGGGGCGTGGGTCGGGCGCGCACCGGCTGGCTCCGGGAGCGGCCGTCACGTCTAGGAGTGGGGCTGGTCG